AGATGAGGTGACTCTTTTTCAAGTGGAGCCACAGAATCATGTCTTAGCAGCAGAAAGTGAACTTATAACTTTATTAATTTGTTCTGTTGGATCAATGATAATTTCCCCTTTAAAACAAGCTATGCTACTGGTTAAAGATATTGCTTTTAGCCCCATTGTCTATGTACTTCAATGAATAAAATGCAACTTTATGAAAACCTGATAAAGGAACATTATTAAAAAAGTTCAAATATCATAGTTTATATAGCTCAAATATTCCAGACTAATAACTTTTTCACCGCTCTTGTTGAAAGAGGAAAAAGACTAAAGCAGAATCACAACAACTGTTAAGCAGCTTTTATGGGAATAGTTTCCGCATTAAACTCAAAATTTGTACCTTTGAATTTCTCTATGTTTTTATTTTTCCAAAAGTCAAAATTCGTTGCTTTAGGGAAGGCTTGACTCTTCCCCCTTTAGTAATCTAACTGATTTCCACAAGTAGCTTGTTTACTTGTTTTGCATTTAATAGCAAGTTATTCTTTATTTGTAGTTGGAATTTTATTTCAACGTGTATAAGTTGTCATTGAAAAATAAAGTAGTTTCTTCTCATGAAGTTCATATGCACTGGACAAACTTGTTTGACTAGTGACTACAGCTCTTGATGTTATACAAATTATAGTTGTGTTTTTGTTGCTGGAACTTTGGAACCCAGACTAGCAATTGGGCTTCGGCCAACTTATTGAGTTGCAAACTTGCAATTTTAATCTTAATTAATATTAGATAACGTGAATTGCATGTGTGCAAGGAAATATATAATATATGGTATTTAGATTTAATTTTTATCACCTACATTAAAATTAAAGCAAGTATCTATTTTTAGATGAGTATATATTATATAATATTACTTGAATAGAGGCATTTGTATTAATCAAGTGTGTAATTTGGGTGAATTGGGTTGGGTAGAAGGTCAATCCAGGTTCAACCCTAAGGTTGCGTTTGGAAATGATGCAAATAAGTGTGAATGCAAAAATATAGAGTGTAAAACGGTTCATAAAAATTGTAAAGTTGGATTAGTTTTGCACTAACAAATTTACTTTATTAACAGACAAACTTTTAGCTGTAATGAATGCAAATACAAATTCCAATAAAGCATATGTCTTTTTTTTTTTATGAAAAGCCTATTTGAATGTAAATTTACTTATTTTTTATTAATGTACTTTTACATCTTATTATCAATGTAAATATATATTAGAAAATGTGTTTTCTGTGATTTATCAATGCATAAATATTTTATTATCAAATACAGATAAAAGTGAACCAGAGTACAAATTTACCTTGAATCGAGATTCACACTCCATTTGTATCATTTCCAAATGCAGCCTAAAGGTGTAAATATTGGGCTCGGGCCTGACCCTACCTGAGATTAAGCCCAACCTTATATGAACACATGTCCAACCCAAGGTTAATCCAACACAATTCGAACTAGGTTCGGGCTGGGTTGGGATAAGCCAAGTTAGTCGGGTTTGGGTGGATTTGAAAGAACTTACGTATACATTTTTATTTATCCATCTTTTATTGGGTGTTATAGCACAATTTGAAAATAGAATTATTGAAAAAACTGTGCATTTTTTTTGGCAATTCCACTCTTAAATTGGTCCTGAAAATGCCGCCCTTACCCATGCAAAATTCACATTGTGTCAGGTCAAATTCAAGTTAAGCCCACCCAAATTGCACGGATGCATCCATAGTATCAATATAAATGCATGATAGTACAAATAAAAGGAATGTAAATTCCGATACATTTTTACCTTGGTAATGCACATAAAACAAAATAAAGCAAAAGCATAAACAATAATAAGATCAGAATTTAGTCAATTTACAATTAGATAATTTTACCAGTACAAATAATGAAACTTCACTACAAACAAACCAGGCCTAAAGACAAAAAAAGGGATCTTACCAGTCACCGGCTACCACGTGTAAAGCTTGTTAAACGTGGTTCTTGTTCTTAAAATGCCCTTATGTTTGCTCGTGACATATCAGACTAAAGTGCACATTAAAGGGATGCTGTAAGGCTGGACAAGGCCAGAATGGTCAAATTTGTAAAAAGTCTAAAAGACGAGCCCATCAGGCACCGGATTTACACAAAAAAACGGTTGAGCCGGGCTAAGCAAGTCGTACAGCGACCAGCCGACTTAGTAGTAGGTTACTGATGTTTGAATTTAATCGACTCAAACTGCTGATTGAAAGTTTGGAACAAACAAACAAGACCGGTCCTTTTCTCCGGTCGACGCTAATTAGTTCTCCTTTCCTAATCGTCGCCACTCACCACTCGATATCCGGATGTCCGTTTCAACTTTCAATTCAAACTTTAATTATACTCAAAATCTTTCCCATCCAAACAGGGCAAGTTTGGAAAGAATTTTGTAAATTTTAAATCCTATCCATGAATTTTTAAATTCAAACATTGGTATATGAAAAATGCAAAATACTCCTCAAACTGAATTTGAGAAAGTCACAAATAAAGTTTTAAATAAAGATCAAAATTTTGATAAAATGTCATACAACAAATGCAGTATCTTTTAGGTCCTGAAACACCTATTTGACCCCTCTTTTTTCAATAAAAATATTAAAAACTATCTAAAATCCAATTTTTGAAAAAAAAAACTAACAAAAAATAAAAAAAAAGTACACTATTTTTAGTTCAGATAACACAGAGTTGTATTGATACCCTGATTTTAAATATCAAATATAAGCCCATTTGCTGAATGGAATGTATTTTCCTGTATCTTTAGCTGTTTTTATTTTTTTCAGCTATTTTTCAAATCTAATTCAGAGGGATCATTATAAGGCGTATTGTCTATCCCTGGAACATGTCAAACCCCAAAATAGTTGCTATAAGGACATATTGGAGGCTCAATTAATTATGTTATAAAGTTTTGATTCTTGGAACAAGATGCCAATTAACTATTGATAAGATCTTCTGCTAGTTGTAACAAAGATTTGGGATCAAATTCCATCATTACCAAAATTAGGGGTTTGAATTTGGGTTGGTGATGGGATATCCTGCCCCGTAGAGGCAAATAATTATAATAATGATCATAAAAATAAAAATATGAACAGGATTTAACTCGATACCGTACTCTATATATACCGTTACAAATTGTAAAATCTCAAAACCTTCCCTACCCTAAAATTCATTTTCCAACCAAAAAACCAAAGGCGAGTGGGAATTGCCATCCCTGTCCAAATGTTTTTACAGCTTTTTTAATCATTCAAACTTCCCCATTAATGCACTGTATAACTTCTTGATTTCCAACTACGTACAGACATGGATATAATAATAAGATATGATGTTATCTTGATCTTGTGATATAATAATTCCTTGCACATTCTTTGCTTACGTATAAAAATACACCGAATCAAGTTCTTAGCTTAATATCCCCCCAAGCTAACACTGAGATAATGGAGCTTATTATAATGGGAAAATGAAAGAGCATATTATAGTAGCCCTAATTTATTTATTTATTTGCTTGGAGAGCCCTAATTTATTATATATTTGGATTTTGGACCGAAAGGACATTGCGCTTTTGTTTCTACTGTTCCCTAAAATCAAGACCACAGTAAGGGTTGTCGGTTCTATCGGTTGGACCTAACAAAGTAAAATTACGTAATTATCCCTAGTCTTCTTCTAATACTAGCAAACGCCGGGCAGCAGTACACAATCACAACTACTCTAAATAATATCACGTGCCTCAGGTTCGAAGTTACCCTTCACTTAGTATTGAAAATAGTAAGAGACTCAGATAGAGAAAGAGAGATGCAGAGAAAGGTCCTTTTCTTGTACGAGAGGTAACGTACACGTGTCGACTTACAGTGGTTCGAAAAGGGTCTGGCTTCAGAAAACAGATGGATCGGTGGCAAAAGATGGAGGAGTTCTTTACAACGTAGCATCATGGTGGTCGGTTCTCGTGAAAATAAAGAAGTAAAAAAAGGTTTAAATGCGAATCGATTTATTCTAATAAGCTGTAATTAAACTAGATCAACTATGATTAACAAAATAATTAATAGGAATAATTTGTACGTTTAACTGGCAGTGGGGAGTGTATTGGAATTTTTAATTTTGTTGTTATTTGGAGTTCGGGATTTGGAGCTGGAGCGGGAACCGCAGATGCTTCCTTTAGACGACGGATCTGGGTACTGGATTAGATAAAAATTACTGGCACGTCAAAATTGAATACCTGAAGTGAAAACTTTGCCACGTGTCAATTGAGGAATGATTAAATGAAATGTGGGTCAGATGGATTTAGAGTAAGAGATTCCCAACCCCGTACTCATCAGCATCAGTCATCATACATGGAGACATCCGCTGCCGAGGGGATCGCGTTATTCATGAAGTTATGAAAAGCCCTCAGGGATTCATAAATTGCACGTAACACCATCTACATCTAGTTCCATGGGACGAAAATACCCTCGAATCAATGACTGATGCCGATCCCCAACAACCTCGAGAAAAAGTAAAATAAAAAGATAAGTTCAATAACTGCAGAGGCAAGACAGAGGCAGGCGTGTCTGCAAAGCAAATTATAACGTCTAATGACGACTTTGTCCTTATGACTTTCCAATATTCGCATGCGTTTGTTGATTTGTAGAATTTGTGCAGACTGCAGAAAAGGTTTTCAATTTGCTTATAAGCTTACGAGGGTTGCTGTAGATTTGTTGGGCTTTTTATATGCCAATTGTACAGTGATGGGACCATAATTAGTGTCCAATAAAAGTCTGACACGTGGACAAATTGATGAGCAGGTATGAAAACGACCATACAAACTACGGCCTGGAGCAACGAAAGAGCGGACCATCTCGTTGGTAATGAAGGTAATTAAAAGGGTATTTTGGTCATCGCAACATTTACGACGGAACTACAAAGTGACAAAACGACGAAGTCGGCAATTGTCGGCCGATGAACCGGGAGATAAAAGCGGGGAAATTCTAATCTGCAATTCAAAAATTTTCTTACATCAATAATTAAATAAAAACAACTTCATCTCGCCATTCAAAGATAGTAGAATCTCTTAAAAAATTAAAACAAAATCTATAGTATATCACATTTGCTCGTTTATTTTGCTTAATTATCTTTATTATTTCTTCTGTCCATATTGAAAAAACGAAAATTAGTAGTATTGCATCTCCTCCCCTCGCCATTCTCTCATTTGAGTCATTTCCATTGCTGCGTCAAATCGGTCGCTCAGAAACCGCAAGCGGAAACCCTAGTCCCCAATTCCAATATCACAAGCGATGAGATGAGATGAAATCATTGTTCTTCGTATTTCTTCTATTGATCTCCATGAATTATCACCATGAAACCTCCTTGGAGAGATGTTTTTTGTCCGGTAAGGTTCCCTGTCGAAAGCTCAGATTCTCTTGCCTCTCCTCTGAAGATTTTCTTTTCGTGCTCTCTTTTCGTTGTAAACATATATATCTTCATTTTAAACTCGGATTTCATGGGGAAAATCTTGATTTTGTATTAGGAGTTTTTTCTCTCATTTGTTCTCTTTTTACTAAATATGAGCTTCTCACTTTCATTCCGTTTAAATTTCAGTATTTAATTGTATTTCCGTCTCTTTTTGCAAACGAGATCTCAGCTGGCTATAGCGTTTGCCATTCCTTTTCTTCGCTTTTTGTGATTTGGTCCAACATGTTTAGCCAGTGCTCAAATCAAAATGAATACCTTCGTTTTGAATGTGCTGTATTTCACCGTACAAATGCAAGGCAATTGTCGAAATGCTGTGTCAAGCGCGAACTCTTGTGCCTCATCTCTTTGCTAACTTTCTGCTTTACTTCTTTTTTCACTCTTGTGCCTTACGAGAGAGAGGGCGGGCGGGCGGGTTGGGATTATGTGCTACTTCTTTTGTTATTAATGCGTTATCTCTTACTCTGCTTCATCATCAGGAAAGCGGACTTTTAGTCCATTAGATTGATTAATTCGATTTATAATCCAGCAACCTTATGTTAATTATTGCCGATTTGTTCTTGATTCATCATTGAGTAATTGGTGGAAGTGTGTATTCCTTTTTCTACTCACTAACTAAAAAAATTGCTTCCTAATTTGCAGTTATAAACCTGTGCAAGTATTGTTGATTGGGAATTATGGACGTTGCTGAGGTTGAAGAAAGTCTTTTTGTGGCCAACGATGCCAAGGTATCACCACTTATGTACTCTCATAAGTGCCGAAGGGGTTGCAGCTCCTCAGCATTTCCTTTTTCCTGTTTTCTCTTCCTTTTTTCATCTGCTCGCTCATCCTGTTTTAGGAATGTTAAAGAATCCTTTGAAATCTCTGGGTTTACATTGAGGTGCTAGTCATTATACTTTGGGCATCGATGCTTAGATTTACTTATTGATCCTCGCCAGTAATTTTTTTTTTTTTTTATTTTCAATAAGTGAAGGAGGCATTCTATGGACGTTTGACCATTACCCACCATTATTACTTTATTGCTGCCCTCATTTCATTTCTTAACTAACTTCTTTTAATATTAGTACCTGATGAACTATTTAAATATTGTTATACATTACTAAATATCATATCACTTCCAAGTCAATGAGGTAAGTGCCATATAATAGTTGTAATGATTATTAATAATGGCCAGTATGTTGGGTGGTTTTGCCAAAACCAACATCTAAATGCTTACTAATACTGTAATGACTGTGCTTATAAAATTAGGGCAAACTTTATGGTGCATGAGCTGCACTTTAAAGCAAAAAACTCAAACCAGTAATAAAGCGATATTGTTACAGTTGAATCCTTAACATTGTTGAAGTCTTCAATGGTAAGTACACCTTGTGAAACATAAAGCAATGAAAAGTGAATAGACTGTGACATCTTTAACATGATTAGTTGAATTTCGTATTTAATTTACAGCAAATATTTGAAATGCACCATAGCTGGACTCTTAAAAACTAGGTTTGTCAAATTTGAATTTTGGACTCGCTACCATTCTGGCTTCCAAAATATGCCATTTTACATTTCCATGAGTTTAGGTGGCTGATAAACAAGTTTCTGTTTCCACTTGCAGTTACATGGAGAGATGTGTAAAATACTTTCTTCAGTTCTTTGTAAAGTGTTGGGAATTTTTCCACTCTTAGAAGCTGCACGACCAAGGAGCAAGTCGGGTATACAGGCATTATGTTCACTTCATATAGCACTTGAGAAGGCCAAGAATCTTCTTAGTCATTGTTCAGATAGTAGTAAACTATACTTGGTACAATTGCTTCCCCTGTTGATAATTTATTATATTGTAGTTACTTATTCCATACCATAGCATGGCCAATATTTACTAATTGTTCTCTTATAAAAGGTTATTACTTATTAGGTTTACCAATGATTGCTTTTGTCCCAAATTGTTGCCGATTGAGTTCAAAGTTTCCTAATAAAGGTTTTGATTGCTTTACTAGCATGCTTGTGTTCGTGGCAAGAAAATCTGTTTCAGTTTTGATGTCTTTTGCCGCATTTATTTGACAGTATGAACCTTAAACATTTCAATTTTTAATGGTATGCCTCCGAGGTTTCAAACAAATGCCAACCCCCCTCACTTTTATCCTAATCCTTTAACATCCCTTATCAAATCATTCAGCTGTTAACCTTGTCAGAGTGGGGGGAAATATTGAGAGTGAAAAAACGTCCCCTGGTACAAAGAGAGATTGAGATATACTCTTTGCAACAGTTGATTATGTAGTGGTTGGAGAAGACAACCCATATGTCTGCCACAGTAAACAAGAGTAGTTCTACCATTGTTGCCGGTAGTTGGGACACTCATTTTCCTTTGACTTAGGAAGAAATCAGAGCCTTTGGTGAAGAGAACATAGAGTTGGTAAAACCTTAAATTAAAGGTAAACCATAATGGGCATATGAGTCAACTTAATTTAAATTCAAATTAAATTGGGGAATCATTGTTCTTTTAACCAAAATTTAATTCATGTATGATCACATGCCAATGACAACTAGTGGTAGGCTAACCCAGATGTGGTTTAGGCTTGTCATATGCGCCAATGGGGAAGATTAGAGTTCTACCAGAAAGGTCACCATCTTCTTTCCCTTTAAGAAAACAGGTTGGATAGTTGGGATCCAAGACATGAATGGTTGTTAAATTTAGTTCTATTTCTTCCTTCTAGATTTAACATGCTAGACTTCACATGTGTTCTATGAGGTTGCATATTTATTTATCTATAGGAACAAGGTCAACTGAGGAACATATTTCTGTGGCTTTTCAACTAATTTTAGATCATTATGAAACTTTTCTAATCATTGATGTTTCTTTCTCATTGTGTAGGCTATAACTGGTGATTCTGTTCTTGTAAAATTTGAGAAAGCAAGGTGTTCCCTTGAGGATAGTCTTAGGCGTGTTGAAGACATTGTTCCACAAGCAATTGGTTGTCAGGTATATTATTCAATTTCTTTGTCTTTGTAATTTCCTTTGAATTGTGGCTGTGTTGTGTTTATTACTCTGTTTGACATTCTACTTGGTGTCAACTTTTTGATTGCCCAAGTAATATTAATCCATCTCCAATTTGAACTTTGAATTTTAGCAACTTGTAGCAAGGGTTTTATTGGGTGATTTAAGTTGACAATATTATACTGAATCCCTTTGTTGAACTACTGAACTAAAGGATCTACAAACTGCATGAATTTCTAAATGCAAATATTGAGGGAAATTTTGATGATAGCTTCCACAGATTATACTCCATTTGGTAACACTTCCCAGCATATGGATCATGAAGAGCAAAAAACATTTATTTGTATTGGCTGGTGATCTGCCACCTACTAAATTGGAATTGGCAATCGGAAATGGTGGCATAATATTAGCATGATCTGTTGATGTTTGAACTGGATCCATTTGGTTCAAGTACCTCTCTGCTGCTGCAAGCAAAAATACTGTACTTATTCTTTGCTGTACTACTGTAAATTTTCATGTAGACATAAACAATGAGTTGGTGGAAATATGCACTCTGGTTCAGGTTCTTGTCCTTTTGTTTGACATACAAATAAACTCAACCTAAGTGTCAAGTTAACCTGGTTGGTTAGTTTATTTACAAGCCCTATTGCTTAGATTATAACCCAAAAGGATAAGTGTAAAGCCTAAGACTGGAGGAGCCCAATGAGTGTCCAAGGTGAGGGCTGGTTTCAATGTTTTCATGCTGGGTTAGGGCTGGCCAAGCCTGGCCCTAATGTTCACCCTTACTTAGGTGGGTTTTAGTTTTCTTCTGGGATTACCTTATCCTCCATGATAAGAGTACAGCTTTTCAATTCTGGATATTTGAAATCCTTGTAATATATAGCAAACGACTAGCAGCTTTGATCTCCCCAATGGTTCTGGCTCAATTTCCTTTTAATTATTCTGATCTTCCAACAGGATTATGACCTTCTGTTGCAACATGTCAATTGCAGATTTCAGAGATTGTAACTGAACTTCGGGGGACGGTGTTTTCACTTGATGCATCAGAGAAGCAAGTTGGTGATGAAGTGATTGCCTTACTCCAGCAGGAAAGAAAATTTAACAGCAATTACAATGACAATAATGAGCTTGAAACCTTTCACCAAGCTGCCTCAAAGCTTGGAATTACTTCTTCAAGAGCAGCTCTGACAGAGAGAAGAGCTCTGAAGAAGCTGATTGAAAGAGCTCGTGCCGAGGAAGACAGGCGGAAGGAATCCATTGTGGCTTACCTTTTACACCTCATGAGGAAATATTCAAAGTTATTCAGAAGTGAATTCTCAGATGACAATGATTCACAAGGATCAGCACCTTGCTCTCCAACTGTCCAGGGTTCCTTTGAGGATGGTAGTGGACATGGAGGGAATAGTCATGCCTTTGATCGACAGCTCTCTAAATTGAGTTCTTTCAGTTTCAAGACAAATGGTCGGAAGTCTGGGCAAATGCCTGTACCTCCCGAGGAGTTGAGATGTCCAATTTCATTGCAGCTCATGTATGATCCAGTCATAATCGCATCTGGACAGACCTATGAGAGGATCTGCATTGAGAAATGGTTCAGTGATGGACATAGCACCTGCCCAAAGACTCAGCAGCAGCTCTCTCATCTTTGTCTAACACCAAATTACTGTGTCAAGGGTCTTGTTACTAGTTGGTGTGAACACAATGGAGTCCCTATTCCTGATGGGCCTCCAGAATCTCTTGATTTAAACTACTGGAGGCTTGCATTATCTGAGTGTGAATCAACTAATTCTAGATCCATGGAGAGTGTTGACTCCTGTAAGTTGAAGGGAATCAAGGTAGTGCCTGTTGAGGAGAATGGGATTGTTGAGGAAAGAAATGAGATTGAAAATATTCCTGGCCTGGAAGAAAACTCGGAACTGGACCTATTTCAGATGTATGAAAACTTCTTGACTGTCTTGTATGAAGGAAATAACCTAAGGAGGCAATGCAAAGTAGTGGAACAGATACGACACTTGCTGAAGGATGATGAAGAGGCCAGAATATTTATGGGGGCCAATGGGTTTGTTGAGGCCCTTGTTCGGTTTTTGGGGTTGGCTGTTCATGAGCGTAATGAGAAAGCTGTGGAAACTGGAGTTATGGCACTTTTCAACCTTGCTGTTAACAATAACAGGTTTGCACTTGTTCAATAGTTTTCTTGCTTTATTCAAATATCTACTTTGGCCCTTATCCATCTCACTACATATATACACACACAACTGAATGGCAATTGTGAACTGCACCATATCACAGTGAAATAGTTGTGTGTTTTCTTTGATGTTCTCCTTATCATTTTGCTTCCTGGTACATATACTCTGTTTTGATGGATTTTAACTGTAAAACGTATTGAAAAATTGGGATTTTTAGTTATTCCTCTCCCCTCCCCTACTCCTAGTAACTTGTTCTATCATGATAGAGATGTATCTGCTTTGGCTGTTAAGATGGACATGATTTCTTGATTAATTACAAGAAGTTGAGAACCAAAGTAATTAAAAAACTAGTCTAGGAATACTTGCTTCATTGGATGCCACATGGACATCTTTTCATGATGGTAGTACTGGAATGCTTCTGATAATTTTGGCTTGGCAGCAGTGTAAGATAAGCACTTATAATTAACATTGGATATGACTCTAAATAGAATGGATTGGTAAAACAGGATTCATGTAGCCAACCCCGTATTCTTGGGATAAGGCATGGGTGATGATGATGACATTTTTTATTCATCCTTTTCCATTTTTTGCGTCTTCAGTTTCTTTTTTATCTCTTGGAAATTCTGAACCTAGTTTAAAAGAAAAATCTGGGAATCTTGGTAACAATTTTGAAATTATTGAATGTAATTTATATTTCCATTATCATAGATTTTCTCTAATATAAGCTAGGCAAGATACTGTTTTGTGGTGATGTCATTTGGAGCTTTTCAGTCAAATTTCCAATACTATAAAAACTATACCAATTGATTATTTTCTTCCATGTCTTGCAGGAACAAGGAAATGATGTTATCTGCAGGAGTAATTCCACTGTTGGAGGAAATGATCCTTATGTCCAAATCTGATGAACCAGCAACGGCTCTCTATCTGAACCTCTCTTGCCTGGAGGAAGCCAAGACAATTATTGGTTCAAGCCAAGCTGTTCCCTTCTTAGTTGGCCTCCTACAAGCTGATTCTGAACCCCAATGCAAGCTAGATGCCCTCCATGCCCTCTACAACCTCTCCACTCACCTCTCAAATATCCCCTTTCTCCTCTCAGCTGGCATCCTCGAAGGGCTTCAGAATCTCCTCACAGATCCCACTGACCATGCATGGACTGAAAAATCCATTGCTATACTTACAAATCTAGCATCAAATAGATCAGCAAAGAAGGAAATTATATCAACGTCAGGTCTTATCAGTGGGCTTGCGGCCATTTTGGACATGGGTGAGCCCATTGAGCAGGAGCAAGCCGTTTCATGCCTTCTAATTTTATGTAATGGAAGTGAGAAATGTAGTGAACTAGTTCTTCGAGAAGGGGTGATACCTGCATTAGTGTCGATATCAACGAATGGAACTGCTAGAGGGAAAGAAAAGTCACAGAAGCTGCTAATGCTCTTCCGGGAGCAGCGACAGAGAGAAGCATCACCTGTTCAGACACAGCCGCAGCCTGATGGTAATGGTGTAACCCCGCCTGCTCCAGAGTCAAAGCCACTATATAAATCAACATCGAAGAGGATGGGGAGGGCTTTGTCGTCCATATGGAAGAACAAGAGCTTTTCGATCTACCAGTGCTAAAACTCTTGTTATGTTTCGGCCAGCCATGTATATTTCTGTTGTATCTCTTTCTCCTTTCATTCTTCCTTCTCTTTCCTTTGTCTTTTTTCTGTTATCCCACGGGCATTATTTATTTCTTTGCCTGCAAAGAAAGAAGGAAAAAAAATGTACAGGCCAATCTTTGAAGTTTTGTTTTACTTTTCATTAGGTACTTGTACGATGTCGTAACTTTTTGATCCTTGCGTCAGCTGAATACATCGTAGCTTTAGCAATGCATGTTTGTCGAGCACTCCTTGTTTCTAACATCGTTTTATAAGTCTCATCTAATAAGTTACTTGACAACTACTTAAACCTTCCCCTTATACTGTAAGAGTGCAAGTTGGGTACTAATTCAAGAAATTAACTGGGTTTGTGGGCTGGGTTCATTCAAATGTCAACCCGAGCCCGCCCAATTGCGCTTTGCCTGCATAATTCTCCCCGTCTCAACCATAGAAAGTAACCACGGCACCACGCACCTTAAGGGTGCAAATCGGGGCCCTCTTTAGCATTTTACACTAGGGGTGCAACTTAGGCGGGCCCAGCCCGAGCCCAAATCGGCTCAATTTGGAATTTTACACTGATTGGGCTTGGATTTTTGGTCCTCGGGCTGGGCTCAGGCCTAGCCCTTAGGTAGCCTGAACCCTGCCCAAATATGTATATATATATATATATGTAATTTTAGAGTGAGTTTATTGACCAACCCAAGCCTGGCTTGGGCCCGAGCCCAACCCAAGTACATCAAATTACGGGGTGGGTTGGGCTTGGGTTGGGAAAATTGGGCTTGACCTCGGGATCGGGCCTTAAGCCCAAATTTTAGGGTCAGGCCTGGGTTGACCATAAACCCAGTCCAACCCGCCCGACTTGCACCCCTTATTTTACACTACATCTGGCTCAGGTTGGGCCCATTCAAAATTTTGACAAAAGGGACACCTAAACATCGTCCAAGTTGTCTTCCATTCGTTAGTTTGATAATAGAAACTTAGAAAGTAATGACTTCTTACTCTAAGGCATTGTTTGTTTTTTAAGAAGTCAATTATTTTTCAGTTAAGTCCATGTTTGAGAGTGCTTATTCAAAATAAGTGCTTATTTGTGCCATTAAGCACCTATTGGTATTTGGGAAATAAACCTGAAACAAGTGTTTATTTTTTAAACCTAAATTTCTAGCTTTTTTTAAGTGTTTATACAATAAGCACCTATTCAACATTTTTCTTCCAAAATTATCCCTAGTTGAATTTTTAAAAGTGCTTTCAAACGGTATATTTTGAAAAATTGAAAGAAAATGAAGGACAAAATAGTCACAAATGCTTACTTAAGTGCTTATTAGAGAAAAGGACTACCAAATGCCCAATATAAAATAAGCACTTGAAAAAGTTGGGTGCCAAATGCAAATAAGTGCTTATTTGAATAAGCACTTGTTTTAAAACATTTATTCAATAAGCACTTATTTTAAACTTAAACACTCCCAAACATGACCTAAATGTATTTAAAAACACTTACCCAGATAAGTGTGTATTTACCTATGCTCTTTTGAACAAAAAAGTGTTTCGCTAAGTAAGTTAAAGTGTAAAACAATGATCCTTTTTATCCATAGAATGTCATTATTATGAGGCGCAATTTCATCCCATTACATTTTCTCAACTTTTTCCCTAAGTGGCAAAGTTACTTAACTACAACTATAAGATCTTTATTCCCAGAAAATGTAACTTACCATGGGATTCACAGGATGGAATTGTTGGTCGAGAGGAACTATAGTTCTATTGACCAATTTTCTCCATTCCATTTACCAAAAAATGAATGGAGCTTAAATGTTATAATTATTTTTCCCTCTTCCCCCAATTGCAGAGAGAAAGTGACAACAAACGACCACAGCCCTTAGTTTGGTATTAAGAATAATTAAAATTAGAGGTGCTCACGGTCTAGAAAATCATAAACAATGGGCCTTTCTTCTAAACCGAACTAGTCTTTTAGTTTTTGAAAAATCATAAACCGAAATTGAATTGAAACCAGTTGGTTAACTGGTTCGTCATATTTTTTGGATTAGTTTAATCAGTTCGGTTTGATTTTTTGGTTTTTGACAAACACCCTTAATTAAAACAATATTCATTAAAATATTCCCCAAAATTTAAGAAAAGTTAGATTTATTTAGTATGCATATACGTATATCAATTTTTGGTGTGGACTGGTTGACCAATCCAAGTTCCGAGCCCAACCCAAGTGAATCAAATTTTAGTGTGAATTAGGTTTAGGTTAAATAGTTTAGCCTTGACCTTAGCCCTATGCCAGGCTTGGGCTTTAAAGATGGATTGACCTTAAACGGTTTAGACCATTTTTCACCCCTAATTATAAACAAACAGGGTGTTTGGTTCTATTTACGTTTATTAATGGTGCCACATAGGCGCCATCGCAGCATTTTCTCTCTCTTGCTCTTTTGCATACATCGAAAATGTAAAAGGTGAACTTTGGTTTATGTGCATACCAGCCGTTTGTAAAAGTTATCTTTTGAAACTTTCACAAACGGCCAGACGTTTATTCACTGTTACGCTAAAGTAGCGCCTAATTGTCATAAATGGCTGCAATTATTGTATTTCTCAGTTTTACCAACAAATAAAATACAAACGTTTATTCAGTAAATATAAACGGAACCAAAGACATTGAAATATTAGTTGTACCCTATCAAGAATGTAAGAGGGTTCTAAGGATGATAATTTTTAGCCCAGTCCGGCTTAAAATAAGCTCTTTTGTCTGGATATTGTTTTGACTATTAACTATATATAGGTAATTAAGAAAAGACTTCACAAAGCCCGTCTAGCTCAGTCGGTAGAGCGCAAGGCTCTTAACCTTGTGGTCGTGGGTTCGAGCCCCACGGTGGGCGTAACTTTTTTGATAAATTGATAACTGAACTACTGAAGTTCAAACGTTTTTTTTCCCTTTCAGCTGCCCAAACCCGCGAACCCGATTCAACCCAGCCCGAAAAAATAGGGCTAGGGTCTCGTATTGAACTACTTAGATTTGAGAGTGACCCAACACTGAAAAAACTGGATTGGGTCATGGGTCAACCCGTTGACCTAATTGTTAGATTTAATTGGAACTATTTATGTATTATAGAAGTTTCCATTCTTTAAACTTTACTATTTAGTCTTTATTCTTTCAATTGTTAAATGTTTAATTTTTTTTTATATTTAGAATTTTAATATTAATTTCTTTAATTTTAACATTTTTCATGTATTTATTATTTATTTTTGAAATGTTAATTATTTTTAAGATGATCCAAATTGATCCATGGATCAAACCTAACCCAAACATTTAAGGTTAGGGTCTACCCAACCCAAATTTCAATCCGACCCAAAATCAACCCAAAGTGTATTGACCGAATCCGAACCCGCCCCACCAAACCCAATTGCCAGGTCTACCCGTAGCGATGTAAGTGTAATCATCGCATCAACCAACCCTGACCAACAAGCGTACCTGATTAGCAAACTAGGAATAGAGCAGAACTGAATCAACTGATTAGTGTTTAGTAGTTGGGATAGCCTCATTCCCACATAGGGCAAGGACTCGAGAGAAGATGAAGCAGGATATTATAAATAGAGATAGAGCGGAGGTTTCAAATTATACTTACCTGCACGAGGTCGACGTCGACGTCGACGGGTGATGAAGAAGGCCCATGGCCTAGGTTAGTGGCCTCTATTGCACTTGGGATGAGCGCTCGACTAAGATCTTCCCAAGCGGTGGACTCTACGTCATAATTTGTGATAGTTGGGGCACGCATTCGCGCGGCCTTCCAGTTTTCAGTTCAGAATGTCTTCATTTTGGTTGTGCAGTGGCAATTATCCTGTCTGATCTCCGAGCTTTCTTTCAGGTTTATTAATCATTTCTTCTTCCTCTTAATTCTCAATTGCCATACCAATGGTCGAATGTGGGGATCAAGAAAATTCAATCCGGCCGCAAACAACGGTAGCCCACCGATCATCTCCGGGAACTTGCCTGCCCTGATATCGAATTTCCTAAAAGCTGAAACTTTGGTTGTCCACGAAGTAGAGGTCAATATTTGGAGGGAGCCTCTGTTATCTGAGAAAGAGAGAGGAGGAGCCTGGTTCACGTCGGGGAGGAGAATCTACATTTATCAGAATTCGCCTTCTCCGGCCGAAAATTGGTGTGGTGGACCTTTGATTCAATGGTTGGGTGCGAAAAAACTGCTGCTCCTCTTAGAAGGGAGGAAATGCTCCTTTTTCATGGTAGGATCCGGCCTGTTTCTCATGAATTCGTAGAGCTTTGCCACGTGTTGACTACTCTCCACTCACTTGTCTTTTTCATGAATTTGTTTGTTGGTCTTGTTTGACTTCACACTCACTTTCGTCCCTTCTTTTCATATACTGTTGCAACGGTGAATGATGAAACCACGTCACTCATGAAGAGTTTTGAGATTTTATCCCTACCAACGAGTCACTACAAACAATGCCTCCAAGTCCAACCATCCAACGTTATCTATCTCCGGTCATCTCAAATATGATATCTTCGTACCGCATTCGTACATCCTGCGAGTGGGAATTTGGTATGACCGTGTCATGTGAGAGTAACAGAACGAGTCACATCCGAGTCGAGAATCTTTCAACTCAGCATCAAAATTGATCCTCCCGCGACAAACAGCGCCATTTCGCGCCGGAAAACAGAAGGAATCCGATTCTTCAGCTCTTAGCTTTTGCACCACTTCCACCATTACTCAGAAGGATTCCATGGGTTCTCTTATTGCGTTTCGACTGAGACACATGGACAGGTAAGCTTCAATTCGGGGTCTAGGGCTCATAAATATGATTACCTCTCGAATTTCCTCCTCTTCTTCTTATTTTTTATTTAATTTGGGCAACGAGGAGAGAAAACTTTTTAGGGCTAAGGACTGCATAGATATGGTGGTACATACTATAGTTTTCTGAACCATGTCGAGTCTGGTTGCTTCCTTTGGTAACAATCCTCCTCAACTTCGAACGATTCGTATGTTAGATTTCGTTTTTCTTCTCTTTATTTTCCGTTTTTCCCCAATCCATCGGATGTAGAAGTAGTTACTTTCTTAATGTTGTTCGAAATGAATCCTTTTCCTCCCTCCCTGGTACAGTCGGGAGACGTTGATCACAAGCAGCATATGTTGTTACTTCATTCATTGGAAGGATGTTTCTTGCTGAGTCTGTTTCCTTTCAGATACGTTTCTTGCAATTGCTGTATTTCTGTTCTGATCACGAATATGCTGGTTCTTTTTTATGTTGTTTTCATTCTCTAAAATTATAGTTCTCATTTTTGTTTTCTCCGTTCTTTGGTTTGGAGGTTTCTATTTGAGATCCAATTTATCAGTTATCTGTATGGATTCTGGCCTAGGTTCGTTAGTTCCTCTTCTCGTGAGTTTTTTTCGTTTTTTCTTTTCTTTTATCCTTTTAGCTGTTAAGGAATATATGTTCTGAATATATTTGTCGACTGGTTCCTTTGAAAATTGGATTTGAATGAAATTAGAGCTATAAATTCTCATGGCTGGTTTCTACAATATTTTGATGTACTTCAGGAAATAGTTTGTAATTCTGGCGTTTTGTTTGTTTGTAAGTTGGGTTGGGCATCTTTTTCAATATCTCCTGCCTGTGTTATATTCTAATTGTTTTTCTTTTCTATTTATTATGAAGATTGTTTGGTATTGGTTTTTCTTCTCAGAAGATTATTTCATTTTCTGATAACCAGCCAATAGAAACAAGTATTGATGGTCCTCTGAGCTTCAATGAACTAATGCCATGTTCTGTTTTCCAGTGTGAGAACTATCAATTTTGTATTCCCCTAATTGAACAGCATATGAATCAAATCAACCCCATATAAAATTGCGAAGCTACAAGGATCTAGATCTCTCATTTTCTCAACTAACAACATAGGGAAAACAGGGAAGATCATCATCATCATTCAAAACTTATCCCAATTATATGGGTCGGCCGGAAATCCGGTGTATCTATAATATTCAATGTGGAGAAGGTTTTTATACCATAGTAAATCTTATGTTCAGTTACTAAAAAGATATGCCTAGTGAACTTTCCTTGGAGACCCATGCTTCAATCAGGACCCTCCATTTGATCAGTTAGAAATTTACCCCTACTTACCTTGGCATCTGCCAGCTTCTTAATGCTTTCCCACCAGCAAATAGGCTATATTAATAAGGGATAATGCCAATTTAATACATATAATTTTGGCATATCATAATTCAGTTATACTAATAGATCTGAGTTGCTTAATTGTTGTTCTATTTGTTTCACTAAACCTTTACTTTTCTATCCTAAAGTTGAAGGTTGTTTCTGAACCTTTGCCTTGTAATTGTGGGTTGATATGCTGCCAGGTATACCGGGGGATGGAAGATGTCTGTTCCGTTCAGTGGCTCATGGAGCTTGCTTGAGAGCAGGAAAGCCATCTCCAAGTGAGAATCATCAGAAGGAATTAGCAGATGAACTCAGGGCTAAGGTTTGCAGTGAAATCTTTTTTTTTTCAATTCTCATTTGGTAGAACTATAGCCACAGCAGTGCAGTTTGTAAACTGTCTAATGTGTAGCCATCTGCTGTTTGTCAGTGTAAGAAAAAGGAAAAGAACCCATTGCATTGATGCGGAGCTTGGAGTTTTTTATTTGCAGTTGATTGGTAATAAAATGCTTATTAGGAGGGAAAATATATATAGAAAATTATGGCAGGTCAAGAATGCATCTGATTGACCAAAACAACAGATATGACACCAAAAGGATAAGACTCTTTGTATAACAGTTACATATCCATTCATTGATAGGGGAAATATTACTACTTGCAGTATTAACTAGTCAGTCAATACCTGTAATGGAATCACCTAGGACAACTAAGCATGAGCTAGGTTGACTATTGACTGATATCTTACAACTCAACCCGGAGGTAAACTTGGTTTTTTGGGTGATGGTATGGTTAGGTTGAAGAAAGAAAAGAATTTTTTTTTTTTTTTTTTTTTTGGGGGGGGGGGGAGGGGATTGGGTTGACTTACAACCACTGTCATCTCTGTTGCCATTGCTGTGGATGTTGCCATCTCCGAGCCTCTAAGTTCCAATTAAGCTACTGATTCTGTGGGGCTGGAATAAAATGATAAATTAGTGAAAACTGTTTTCCTTAAACCATTAATGTGTTGGAACTTGGAAACACAAAGAGCATAACTTGTTCCTTTTCCTATAACAAATTAAAGAAATTAGGAGATTGCATGCATTTCTAACCAACTCGCCTTCCATGAAACATGTGACCTAATTGATCAAATGGACAAGGCTTTTAAGAATTTGGCATTGTTTGAAGTCTGCCTACCATTATTTTTTATTTTTTTATTTTCTTTCCACCAGAAAAGCTTTTTTAATTTTCAATCTATGGCCTGTTCATTCAGTTAGTTCTATGTGTGAATTATAAATTGAGCCCACAATTCTATGAACATGGATATGGTCTTAGTTGTTTCTTTACGTTTTTGAGCTGTTCATTGCTCCAAATTTGATTATTGTTATTAATGTTGAATGAACTTCATTTTCTTTTGACCTTTCTTCTGGTTAAATTTCAACTGACTGACAGGTTGTAGATGAATTCATTAAAAGACGTGCAGACACTGAATGGTCAGTTTTCTTCCATGAGCCTTGATGCTAATTCTCGTGAAGCTCTATTTAGCACTTCTACAGTATCTCTGGAAGTAACTTTTATATATTTACAGGTTTCTTGAAGATGATTTTGATACATATGTTGCACAGATGAGACAGCCTCACATTTGGGGAGGAGAACCTGAGCTCCTCATGTCCTCCCACGTGCTACAGTATGCCATAATTCTTCAATCTCAACTTCTTTCTCCATTGCCAGGTTTTTATTCTTCTGAAGGGTCACACTTCGGCATCCCTGTCTAATGCAAATCATTCTTGATGTGCATCGTTGTAGTATATGTGGCTTCCTACACAAGCAATCTTGACATTCAATTGATGCACTACCTCGAGTAGTTCTTTGCTCAAATTTTTGTTGTTCATGATCATAATCATCCAGCCAATAGATAAAACATTTGAAGGTCCAAAACCATACAGCTGACAGCTGGTCAATGTACCGGGTTTAATGGAAATCAATGTTTCTAAGTTAAAGGTGCTTCTCACTGTTTAAACCATCTTGGGAGGGGTGGGGATTTTGATGGGCACATGGCAGGAAGCTTTTTATCAGGCTAGGATACATTCAACTGCCCAGTACATTTTGTAGCTTCTTTGAATTGATATTATTCATATACAAATTTTCTGGTTGGCATACAATTTTTTATTGCAGGATGCCCATTACTGTTTATTTTCGGGATAGGAATTCAGGTAACCTCAAAATTATAGCAGAATATGGTCAAGAGTATGGCAAGGAGAACCCCATCCGTGTCCTTTATCATGGTTATGGACACTACGATGTTTTGCAGGGCTCTTCTGGTGAACAAGTTAAGATGTAAGATTTCAATAAACCTTATCAGTATGCCTTCTGCAAGGTTAGAGCTGTCAATGGGTTGGTTCTACCCGATAGAACCAAACCAACCGAACTGATTACATCAGTTCTGATTCTGTGGTTTGTGTCCCAATTAATAATTGGATCAGGACTGGTTCTAACCATTCCAAGCCAATTATATAGTTAATAATATATATATATATATATATATATATATATATATATATGTGTGTGTATGTATATATTCTCCTGATTTTCTTATAATTTTTGTTATATTTTGTCTAAAAGGTAAATTTCATAGAAAATAAAATAATTTTGGTTAAAAAACTTGGTTTATTAACACAAACAGTTTATTATTTACTGCCATTCTTATTAAGATTATTTATCACCAATGAAGTTCCAAGTTGTTATTATCATAGGTAATTATAGATGTCAAGGATAATCAAGTCAGACCCGATTATCCTGATTAATAACTGGTCCAGTTCTGGGTCTATATTATAGAACCAATTAATAATTCGTTGAGGACCAGACCCTACACATTGACAGCTCTATGCAAGGTAAGTTTGAAGGCAACAGAAACATACGAATGCTGCATATATGTGTAGTATGTTTTTGCCTTGAAACGTTGGAGGGAAGTTGGGACTTCGGGTGTGAGAAAGCCAAGTTTTCTGATTATATATGCATACCTGTATTTGGGAAGTGGTGCCGTTGTATTGTATCATGATAATGAAGTAAAAGAGGGGGTTGCTTTTAAGTTGAAGCCTTATATCATATTTGTACTTGTAGCACATATTACAATAATCTTATCAGGCTATGGACATTCTTGGTAGAATGTGCAGACTGCAGAGGGTATGATCCTTCTGTCTAGCCATGCCATTAGATTTTCAGAACTTGGCATGCATCCACAGCACTTGCATTTCTTAATCCATAAGATTCAGACCTTAGATTTCCCCCATTTTGAGTGTATGACAGATTATTAAAAGCTTAGTAGAAAATGTTACTTAGGTCTTATAATGTATTTGTTCGGGTATTGGCAGGTACAAGAAAAGGTAGAACGTTGGCTTCAAGAAGAAAAGAAATGCTAGAAGGGATGGCTGCCAGCTAATCTTTTCAGACTTTAGTGTCTTCAACTATGTACTTATGGAAATCTTTATGTAATAAATGTTAATCCTGCTTGTGTTCTTAATAAAAGTTTATAACTTATTAGCAATTCCTAATTCTTTTCACAATAACTGGTTATGTTAGGTTTGACATTATTTCTTTATCTAATTGCTTTTATTGTGCAAATAAATTGGATTGAATTAGATATAATCATATAAGTAAATTCAAAATTGATTTGATTAGATTTGAATTGAATCTTATCCATTGAATTTATTATATGTGGATTGCAATCGAATGTTAATGCATTAAACTAAAAATAATGAAAATATCATAATATCATATATTATTGATTAATAAAGGGGTTCAACTATGAAACTGGAAAGACGTGATGCCAGAAAATAACCATTAACCAATCAATCGGTGGTATTTATAGAATTTCACATGGGTTTTGATTAGTCAAAGTTCGACTATAATATATTTCTGGCAGACTGGCACCATACATTTACCCTCAATAAAATGAACAAAAAATTTGATCGCAGATCATGGTCAAAGTTTTGTGATGCAAAATTTGTACTGCCAACCGGTGCAAATAAGACATTTAAGTAGAAATTGATGGCAATTCATGGTTACGAAAATCAACCAGATGCAAAACTTGTATCTGGTTCAGATTTGCACTGCAAAAGGAGGCATAGTTTCAAATATATTTTTAACCTTTGCAGTGAAGTTTTGTCCAGAAGAAAAGAGAAACCAGTTTGTGAGAGATAAAAGGAAGCTCATTCTATATCCATTGCATTTGCTTTGAAATCATTAAAAATTTTCATATATTTTTTCATTGAAATCATCCTCGAACGGAATTTTTAGGTGGATAGCTTCTCAGCTTTATGACATTACAAGGAAATAAGCTTGAAACTGAATAAACAAAGGTGAAAATTGGTACATTGGGCTAGTCTACCTAAACTTTTAAAATATGTCAATTTAGTCCCTGCCATTAGCAGTCCATCAGTTACCTCTATCATGTGATGACATGTGCGACTTCTTCCTCAAGAATCAAATATTGAATCAAAACAATAATGAACAATCCCATATGTGACACTGTTCATCATCATCTCCTAAGAGATGGACATTTGTATAGTTGATAAAGAAAATTAGATGACATTCAAAGGGCATTTGTGTCTTTTCACATGCTATTTAATGGCAATTAACGGTTCTTGTACTAAATTGGCTCATTTTGAAAGTTTAGATACTGAATTGGCACGTTTTAAGCCCAAAGTATAGGGTACTAATCTTCAATTTTCCCTAATAAACAAAAAAAAAAAAAAAAAAAAACAAAGGGAAATCTGTTGTTTAAGACTCACTGTTTTGATTCTCTTGAATTGCTATTTGCTAATAAATCAAAGCGTCACTCTTGTTTATGGGGCCACAGGACAAAGTGCGTTCTAGGCTTCTAGCTTTGGAGGCTCCCTCAATTTCAAGTTTTAACTCCAGGATCGTTCACTGTTATGATTCCTTTGAACTGCTAATAAACCAAAGCGTCGCTCTTGTTTATGGGGCCACAGGACGAAGTGCGTTCTAGCTTTGGAGGGCCCCTCCCTCAATTTCAAGTTTTAACTCCATGATCGTTCATGCACTTCCGTTTGTATTTTGCATTTCAGAAAGGTTACGGATACTTCTCTACTTTTCACATCGACAAAATACAAGATGTAGTTTTTGCTATCAAATAACACCATCCGGAGGAAAAAAAGATTAAATGCTATTCTAGTATTCTATTAGTATGATGAAGCATGAACAGAAGAGAAAGTTGAAAAAACTATCGGAGACATGTAACCGCCCAACTTGCTAAAATTTCAAAAGCCAATGAAGCACATTTTTTCAATTTCGATCAAAGGCAACATATACAAGGTACTCATTAGAAAATAATCCAGCAGATGTTCAGGAACTTTGCTCATAAATCCAATCTAGAAACTCAGAAAAATGATGAATCAGCTATAGTAGCTTCCAATAGAAAAAGTGCAAGTACCAATCAATACAGCTATGTTGACAAAAATTTCTACCTAAATTATGAAACTTTATCACAAACTCATTCTTCAGCCTCACCTTTCGACTTTTTCTTCTTCTTTTTCTTGATTTCACTTGCACTTGAGATATCTTTTGTTTCTTCATCTTTGCTCTTCTTCTTGATTGTTCCATCCTGATTTGATTCAAACCCATTTAAACCATCCAAAATTTCCGGAGCCTGAGCATTATCTTGCTCCTGTGCTAGCTTACGCTTCTTCTTCTTTTTCTTTTCTGTTTCTGGTGAAGCATCCCCATTTGCAACAGCCATTGCCTCATCCACCACCATGGCCTCACCATCCACAGTGGTCTCACTTTTAGATTTCTTCTTGCTTTTCTTTATAGAAACTTCAACAGTTCCATTTTCCTTATCCATCTTCTCACCATCTGCAAATATACTTGCAGTCAGGATAATGAAGTATCAACAAGAAATATTCAAGGAAATGAACTTATGAAAGATGATTTAGGTTCCAACAATAATTAAAATTTAAAAAAAAAAATACCAGTTGTTACCAAGAGTATAAACAACAAATACTATCCACAAAAGGGCAATGACAGAAGTGGTGAGATGCATGTCGACCACATTAAGGTTTCCACCTAATGGTGATTGCCAAACAACAGTCTAGCAAGCCAATGGTCTAATCTGTCCCCCCTTTTGGGTGATCAAACTAAAATGCAGTTGGTCAGGAAAGACCAAAGCATCATTTATCAAAAAAAAGAAAGACCAAAGCATCGGTCTATTGTCTATTGGACAGAAAAGCTATAATCAGACCATCACTCAATCTAAAACATTAAAAATTATTTTCTTGAGAAAGGTAAGTAATAAATTGTAAAAATCCCTGTATAACAAGTTACTGTACATGGTGAAGATACAAGGCTATTCACTTTACATTATGGAATCAGATGATGGCTGTTTACAAAAAGTGTCTTGAAAAGTGTTGGTATTTCTTCCCCTAAACATCTTGTGTCTCACCAACCAGGAGAACACCTTCCCCATAATTCTATTAGTTACAACTTCTGTACTTTGTTGTCAAAATCCTGGTGTTCCTTCCACAAGGACCAACACTGCTGCAGGAATTACTCCACATTCTACTTTCCTATGCTTACCCATGCCTCTCAAAGATTGTTCAAACCAATCACTATGACTAGGAGGCACCCTTCCATTACCCACTCCACCCCCAATGCAGTGCAAAGCATATCATGAATGCATAATTCTCTCAAATCATCATTCCATCTGAAGTTTGCATCCAATTCATTTTATGCATTAGCACTCCAATACATTCACCATCTTCTGACATACTCACCTTTGGTTTGAGTACTTTCAATAGCTGCTTTCATCACATCAACATTTTTGCGAGGTGCAACCCCCTTATCATAAAAGTCCAGCCTCTCTTCAACCTGTTCGCGGAGTTTCTCCCCAAAAATATTAGTGTTCATCTCTGTATGCACACGAACATAAATGGGTTATCAAAAACACCATAGATCTATCCAAAAAAGCATATCCATTAAAAAAAAAACACGGAGAACAGAAACAAAGTGGTTATTTCTCAAACAATGAGGAAAAGTTACCTGAAAAACAATCAATACGAGATGCAATAGAACACTTATTTGCAAGATAACGAGCCATGCGGCCCTTGTTCCTTGCAGATGCACGACCAATAAAAGATGAATGAAAGATCAGACCATACTTTGGGGTGTTTCCTCGGGTTTTCAGTGCTCTGAGACAAAATTGAAAATGGGAAGTAAGAACGTAAAAATTTAACAGGTGAATCATTTGCAATAAATGAGACTGGCAGACAGGAATAGTTTGTAATTTCTATTTGAGAGATGGCACAAATGATATTACCCAAACTTTTGGGGTTTAACAAGGTGGTAGGAAAGTACAAGCATGCAGTAAGAGGAGACACAGGTGGTGTTAGGTTGGCAAAAGCCAGCCTAAGCTAAGAGCTACTGGATGTCTAGCATCTTTGTACATAATCCATTCTTTTCCGTCTTAATAAAATTCTATTACAAATAAAAAATAAGGCAAAATACAGTTTTTGGATAAATCATGCGATAAACTCTAACGTTAAGCTGCCATGGAATTCTACCAAATACAGAGAAACTAAGTCCATGGTTCCAATGCAATTACTGATTGAATAACACTGTGAGATATGGAAACAAAAAAATCTGGCACTCTTTTGTTTCCAACATTGACAGCTGCTACTGTAGAGGATTGGTCATATTATTAAGGACACAGCATTCTCTATTGGGAATAAGTAAAGGCACTAATAGGATACCTGAAGAGTGCTTTCTCAGCACCTAGTATCTGAAGTGTAGAAGAAGGGCACTTGGCCAAATTTGTGAGACTGCCAGCATGGGAAATTAAACGGGCCCCAACAATTTCACCAATCAGAGAAGTCAAATTTGGTGCAATGTCATTCATTTTAGTCACCAGATACTCATAGAGCTTCTTCCTGTACTCAGACAGATCCATAACCCTCTGGGCAAATTGCTGGACATTAATCAAGTCGATTGGGGATAAATCCTGTCCTGCAAAAATTTAAAAACACATGATGAATAGAGAATGAGATGTGGCCTTACTATATAAAATAATGTCTATTTACCCATTGATGCTTTGGCTGCTTCAACAATCTCCTTTGCTTTGTCTTCATCCCCTAGTATCTCAGCTAAGCCTGGGATTTTGTCTTCAGACAATTCTGATTTGTCCTCTACAAATTTTGCAACTTTGGCATAAAGATAGTTGTCATTGACAATCTTCACTAATTCAGGAAAATGCCATGAGTACCACTCTCTGCACAACGGGGTGAATAAAAGATTTAAATAAAGAAAATAACAAATTTAACTTTTTATCCCAAGAAAAATAGAAGCAGAAAACAGGCAGACAAGGCATAAGCTTTAATATGGAAATTAATATTTTCAATATCTTCCAAGTCAGACATCACTTTTATTTGAATTTACTAGGAATGCTCACAATATATTACATAAGAGAACTACAATGTTCTGGGGAATATGCCAAAGAAAAGGACAAATAAAATCTAGTTTGTCCTAATAGCAAACCATGAACTGGTGATAATGTCATTTGAAATATTAGCCAATGATGGTGCAAAAAAAAATAAAAAAAAAACTTGATATATTAAAACAAAAGTAACTCGTTACAATTCTAAGAAAAAAATTTGCAACAAAGAAGGATAACAAACCTGACTCGCATGGAAAAGGAGTTGATATCCTTATCAAGAGTATCAAGAAGGAAGATGGCCTGAATAACCATATTGTCAACCCTGTTCACATTGAACTTGACCTTTGCCCTGCTGTAACTGTGTCCCAAACCAAGTTGGGCCTTTTCCAAGTCACCAGGCTGCACAAATAGAATGTGTCTAGAAATATCAGAAAGTGGAATAATTCAGAAAACATAACACAATTTGTAATGAAGTAAAGGGAGAAAGTCCTAGAGCACGTCAAACCTTAAGGTCCTTGATAAACCTGTCAAAGTGCAACCGGACACTACGAAGAAGTTCAAGAACAAACTCATTACTTTGGCAAGGAATTTTAGTTATTTCAGAAATATGTGACCCAATCTTCGGTTCTGCAACTCCTAGTTTGAATTTAGCCTTTTTACCCTCCTTAATTTTTGGGAGATTGAGCTCTAAGAAGTTTCTTAGCTCATCGGTCATAAGTCCTGAAAAACCCAACAAAAAACAAACCAGAAAACATCATAATTCTTTCAATAGGTAGCCAAGCTTATTGAAAGAAAGAGGGAAGGAATAACGTATGCACAAGGTACATAGAAATTAAATACACGAAATCAAACAAACAACTGTCTCATTAACAAACCATCGACATCATAATTTCATGCAATTAATACCTAATAAACATCTTAATTTCCAAAAAAAAACGATAATCATCTCTCATATAATATAGCCCAGAATGAGAACAAATTAATGAAATATAAGTCAGACCCAAATTTTTTCGGTTTATTACTTTTATGATCGAGATTGAGCTCATTGAGCTATCAGATTAGTCTCAGTGCTAAGTTATTTGAAATCAAAGATGTCAAACAGAACAGAAAGTTAGAAAGATGGGCTTCTAAGTTCCAACCAATACGTTAGTATGTTTTCAAAAATTCAAAAAGGTTGACCAAAAGAAAAACATGATGATTTGGAACCAAGCATTTCAAGGAAAATTTGGGACAATACGCGGAAATGTAATAAAAAACGAATTATGGTTGAGCATTGTATGTTATTGATGATCGTGATTGAACATTGTGCAACTCATAAACACTAACTTAAACCATATATGTGTGCGCGATGTCGAAAGCATGCAATAACCATAAACCATGTCAACCTGAACCAACAGAATTATAGTTGTATTTGACCTTCAACCCACCCATCCCCCAAAACAAAAGAAAAGGAAGAAAGAAAGAAAGATGAAAGAAAATGACAAATTTAAAGACATGAAGTCATATATAAGAAGCTGAGCAATAACAAGAGGTGGCTCAATAACCACCTTCAGAAATAGCGTTGCATTGATTCAGAGCATCGAGTGCAGACTCGAATGGATGAAATGCTACAAGCTTGACGACTTTTCCAAACCGATTTAGATCCAATACAGAGTTCCGAACTGCTTCAGTGTTCTGTCCAATTTCATCGATGCCATGAGCCAGAAAAAGAGCGTACCCAGAGGAAGACTCGTAAAGTATGTACAACGCCATTAGATAACACAGCAGCGAAACCAACGATTTCGCAAGCGTAAGGGGTGTTAAAAATTCTTGCCTTTCCCACTCTCGGGCTCTATCTTGCTAGGGTTTTGGAAGAAGGTAGCCCCAATGGCATGTTGGGGGCCTTCGGGCGTTTAAACAGGGGTTTAGGGTTTTCTGTGAAGCGGATTTCTAGTCTATGGACTATGGCGCAATGCATTGAGGTCTGAAAACAGCGCACACGGGTGACGGGTGACGGGACTCGTGTAGGGCAGGCCCCGTTTGGGAGACCTGAACTGAATATTCGTTTAAGCTGATTCAGCTGTTTTGAAGCGCTTCGTATAAGTTACTCAAATAGGCTGAAAACAGACAGCCCTTCCGGGAGTCCGGATCTTCTGCTAACAACTTACGTTTTTGAACATGATCTGATACACCAAATCCGTCATGCTGCATTGCTGCATCTCAGATCTCCCAACTGCTATGAATCGGTTCGGTTAAGCTTTCTCAGAGGCTGAAAAACAAACATTCTTTTAAACGATTACTAATAGCTGAATTGGACTCTTCGAATTTTCCACCAAACATAATGTAAAGTAGGGGTGTTCACGGAACCGTGGAGTTCTTTTGTGAATCGAACCGACCTTATCGGTTTTTTTGAGTATTTGAACTGAAATCGAACGGGGGACCGGTTAACCGTGGTTTGGTTTTTCGATTTTGTATGTACTCAAAAAAAAAGAGATGTCATTGGTCGATTTGGGATTTTTTCCCATTAGGGAAGAAGAAGAGAGATGAGAGAGAAAACTGAGAGATGAGAAACTGAACTCAGAGATCGTCGGTCGGAGCCCGAAGATCGTCGGTTGAAGACTTGGAGGCCGTCGGTCGGTCTGGGGAAGAAGAAGACTAGAGAGATGAGAGAGAGACTGAGAAGTGAGAACTCAAAAGTCGTCGATCGGAACCCAAAGGTCGTCAGTCGGAGACTCGGAGGCCGTCGGTCAGTCTGGGGAAGAAGAAAACCAAAGAGATGAGAGATGGAGAACTGAGAGTGAGAGAGAAAGGGAAAGGTTGATTCGAACTAATTTCGAAGAGAGGAAGAAATAGAATGGAAGATTATAAAAGGTTTGCAAATACTATAAGAGAATGTGAGAATGCTGAGAAGCCTATTCGATTTTCAAAAATATAATATAAAATATATATCAATATACATATACCAGCTGGTTCGGTTAACCGCCATTTTTTTTTCAGGTTAACCGAAAACCGAACCAAAATTATCAGTATTTTGAGAATATCAAACCGAAACTGAATCGGCCGGTTCGGTTAACCAAGTTTTCAGTTTGGTTTTTCGATTTATTTTACTCACCCCTAGACTGCATGTGTGGGACCCACCTCGACAAGCAATGATTGTATTTCAACCCTCGCAACCAACCATGTAATTGTAGTTTTTTTTGGGTAATAGTAGTTGTAGTTAATGTTTAAGTGGTTGAATCAAAAGACTTAGGGTTTGTTTGGTTCGTAGGTGTGGCTGGAATTGGAATTGGAATCGCTTATTCCTGGTGTCTGTTTGGGTCAGCCCATAATCTGAATTGGATTCTTATTGTTGTTGTTTAGTTCAACTAAAAGTTGGGATAATAATTAATCAAATTTGGGATAATTGGATTCAAAGTTGTATTGACTATCAGACTTTTGAAGTCCCTTGATAGTGTTAATCAAATGTATGAATTCATTTCTTTTTATTGAGGTTGTGTTTGGTTGCAATGCAATTTTATTTGAACTAGTACAGATGCATGGGAGTGCAAATTAAATAAATATATATATATATATATATAAATTTTGATTTAATTTTGTTTTGGGTTTTACTCTATTGTGCCTAGGGTCTTATTTTACTTCATTTGTACTGCAATCAAACAAAATAGGATAAATTTTAAAATAAAAATAAATCATAATTTGCACTACCATAATTTTGCTTCTATGCAAATAAATTTGCATTGCAACCAAACACAACCTAGGGCTCAATTTAAGAAGAATGCAAATACAAATATATTCATTGCAAATTTTCCAACATTAAACAGTAATGATTAAATTATTTTTTGAAGCTAATCCATTAAAAGTGCCCAATCCTTTGAATGTTTTAGACACTGGGTTCTATGTTAAGACTTTTCATCAAGATATAATAACTCATAAAAATTATAATCATGAGATTTTGACAAAAGTTTTAGTATTGTATGTCAAATTGGCCCAACCCTCCTTTTTTTTTCTGGCAATGTAATAATTATAGACTTAATTATCCAGTTGCAAGAGATAGGGCCCTATTTATTTAAGGTGCATGGTATCATGGGTGAGAGCTAAACCATTGTCTATATAGGTCAATAGGTCATTGAAATTTAAATTTTAAAATCGATTCAATTTCATCACAAAATAAAAATTAATACAAAATAATAGTTAAAATTAACATTATTATTGTATGACCTAAAAACATACAGCCTTCTTATTATAGGAAACTGAGTAGATGAGGAGAGAAGTCCACATACACCTTTCCTTAAAAATTCCATCAAACTTGGTATATTTAATAAAAACAAAATAAAATCAATTGAAATGATACAATAATAAAATTACACATAGGTCTCATATACATAACCAGAAAAAAAAAGGTTGAATAGAATTTGGACCACCTTAACTTAATTGGAAATGTCGTAAAGGTTCCTAAGTTCCTTCTTCGATTTCACTTACAATTTCTGTGCACCGGATAAGTCTCAACTAGTATTAGTATAAAGACACCTATTATACATGTGGGCAAGTAAAGATAAAGATATAATGTCAAATATAATCAAAATTCAATTTACAGGACATACACAAAAACTAAGTAAAGTGTCCATTTTATAATAGTATAAATATAATTAAATGTAATAATGGCACAATTAAACCATGTGTATATTTTTTGAAAACCGAATCAGTCATTCATTTTTTTGCAATATTACAATATTCCAAACAAAATCATTCAGTTAATAGGTAGATTGGTTTAGTTTGTTCATTTCTCTAGTTTTTAAATAAAACATTATATATTATAAATAGATAATTATGTATATATAATACTAGTGGAATGGCCCGTGCGATGCACGGGGTATTTGATATCGATGGTGATGTATGACTATACTTTTATATATCGGGCATAAACGAAAGTTTACAAACTGTTCAAGTCCTATGACAATTATTGGGCATAAAAAAGACTATCCTCACAAAATGGCAATATCTAAATTTTATAATATGCATATAATGTTGGTTGCAAATGCATTAGATTGAAACATTCGTGCACCAAATCAATGATAAAATTACATTGAAGAACAACATTATATGTAGATATAGTACGTTCATCCCAATGTAACACAAAATTTATGGAGAATAGGAGATGCCACTCTTAACCAATCTATTGTTTTGTAATAACCTAAAACCTATGAATATAATTACTATTAATGGATGGTTAGAGGTAAATAAAGCTATTATGCTAATTTATATAAGTAATCATTGAATAACATAAGTCATTATCTAAGATGACTTTTAAATGACTTACATTTAAGCCTAAAAACATTTTCTTCTTACTTTTTAACTAAGAGGAGATAAAGAAATTAGTTTGAGAAAAACTTATCAACCAACCACTAAAGTAACATGTATGCAAACACCTTTTAGGCATGTTGAGCACATCCGCACATTTGTCCAAGAATAAAATAATCGAATAATTCATAATGTGTCATAGTGTTGCATACGACTTAGGACATGAGTTGTAGGCCCTACTTAACAATCACACACATGATAACATACAATCATAGTGGCCAAATGCCCTTAGAATACTTGGGCCTAATTGACAAACATGTCCAGGGCCCATATAATGAATTTTTTATATTTTCATTTTTTGTAATTTGTGGTTTTATTTGTTTTTTGTGATTTTTGTTATTTTTCATCAAATTTTATTATTTTATACATTTTTTTGCGTATTTCTTTATTTTGTTGTAATTTATATTATTTTTCTTCACTTTCCTATGTTTTTTATAATTATTTGTATTTTGTATTTGTTTTCTTTAATTTATGTTATTTTCTACATTTTATATCTTTATTTGTATGAAATGCATTTGTTATAGTTATATTTTTCTAGAATTTATGTATTATGTGAAAAGTTAATGGGTTGGGCAGGTTGGGTTGTGTTTATGCTAGGTTTTGGTTGAACCCAAAATGGGTCATTGGTGGATTGATGGGTCAGGTGGGTTGGATTGAAGCTCATCCCAAACCTAAGTACCTAACCCACCCAACTTCTTTTTAGAAAAGATAATGTTTTTTTTTTTTTGCCAACAACTATCATGCACCTTCATATAGAATTGGGATGTCGGAATAACCAAAAAACTAAGGGGTAGAATTAGTATGAAAAAGTAGGGTATTTCAACCACACTAACTGGATCATTCTCATTTTTTATATATGGTAGTAGATATAAGTTTTTATCCTATTCTACAATTTTTTTCATTTTTCTATAATTTATGGTTTTTCTTTATTTTTTGTAATTTATTTTTTCTTTAATTTTTATGATTTTCTTTTTTTTTTATTTTCTCTTTGTTTATTTTTTTATAATTTATATTATTCTCTTCATTTTATGTGTTTTTTCATAATGATCTTGCAATGACATATATACAATGGGAAAAAATAGAAAGTTTAGGGTAAAGTTGGAAAGTAAAACCATGGTGTTTTTGATAAAACCAATTGCTACATTCTTATTTTTTAGTATGGTACCGATATAGAAATTTATATGATTTTCTTTTTTTTTGTTTTGTAATTTTTCTATGTATTTATTTGTTTTTTTGTAATTTATATTGTTTTATTCATTCTATGCTTTTCATAATAATTTTGCAATGACAATATATACAATGGGGAAAAATATAAAGTTGATGATAAAGTTGGAAAGTAAAATTAGGGTGTTTTGACCAAACCACTTGCAACATTTTCATTTTTTAGTATGGTATAGAAATTTGTATGTAAATTTATTGTGTATTTCTTTGTAATTTATATTATTTTCTTCATTTCGAGGAGAAAGGTGCATAGGATAAGAGAGTCGCCATTTCTATTTCCTCATTCATACAGTAAAAGTAGGGAGAATGGATAAAGATATACACTATGCAGGGAGGGATTTAAAGGAGAGAATTGGGTTTTTAGAATTTATGTATTCGCTTAATGTGTGAATGATGACATTTGGCCTTTTGCCTCTTGCCATTTTGCTTGTCAATGATGAGACTGTTATTTGCATATCTAACGGCTATCATCAGGATATAGTTTGATATTGATTCATTTATATTTAGATTTGAATCGAACATCCGTTTGATTTATATAGAAGAGTCTAATTTTCCTACCAATAAAATGCATTCCAAACCCCCACGACCGTACCAAGTACAACCCCTATGGTATTACATTGGTAGGGTGTTAGATTACTGGATTGGCTCGATGATCGTTGAGAAAAAACACCATAAAACGAATCAATATAATGATAAGAGCATTTCCTGATCCAAATGCAACTTATTACGTTAACAGACAATTGAAAAAAAGGAGAAAACTAAAAAAGAAGCTTCATTTAATCATCTAATTGATTGTTCATGATGAAAAGAGGGAGGTTGAAAAAATTCATTCCTCCATTCAATTTAAATTTGTGGTGTGGGCAAACCATCCGATACTTAAGATGTGTTGCCTCTAATTAATGAAGAGTTTTGTTAGGTAGGTGCTTCAGGAGAAGATCATATAAGGCGAGGAGTAGGTTCCACAACAATCTTATTATTATTTTATTTGCTTTATCCAATTACAAGTGTTAACCGTGAATTAAATAAAATTGAAAAATAAAAAACATAACAAAGGGTAAAAATGGAAAATGAAAATCAAGCTTTAAAATAAAAAAACATGATCAAGTGTAAAAATGAAAAATGAAAAATAGGCTTTTTGATGAAACATTGTCACCATCCTCATTTCTATAAATGGTATAGAGATTATCCAATTACAAGTATTAACAGTTAACTGTTAATTAAATAAAATTGGAAAAATAAAAACATAATAATGTAAAGGGTAAAAACGGAAAATGAAAATAAGCTTTAAAATACAAAACATGATAAGGGTAAAAATGAAAAGTAAAAAACCAGGCTTTTTATGAAACATTATCACCATCCTCATTTTTATAAACAATTAACCATTAATTAAATAAACTTGGAAAAATAAAAACATAATAATACATAGGGTAAAAATGGAAAGTGAAAATAAGCTTTAAAATACAAAACATTATAATTATAAGGGTAAAAATGGAAAGTAAAAAATAGGCTTTTTGACGAAATATTATCACCATCTTCATTTTTATAAATGGTACAGAGGTACTGATACTGACATAGATAATATATACTTTATATTAAAATTATATATAATGCATATATAAGCTTTATATTTTTAATATACTTTATATTAAAAATATATATAATGTATATACACCAATTGGTTTGGTTAGCCCCTAGTTCTTCTTTTAGATTAATAAAAAACTGAACCATTATTTTTGATTTTTTTGCAATATTTCAAATCAAATCAAAACCAAACCAAATAAATTGCTTTAATTATTATTTTTTTTTTGGGTTGGTTCGTTTTTTAGTTTTTGAAGAGCACCCCTAGACACAATTAGTTATGTTCACGGGCCGGGTCATGCTTTGCCTCTTTATAAAAAAGAAGATGATCAGGCTCAAATTAAACCTCGGCCCGACCATTAGGCCTAATTCTTGAGCCCGAGCTTAACCCTATATAAAAACCTGGTATGGACAGATATTTTATAATATACTATTTATATATTATTAATAAAGTATTATATATTATATGATATTTTATATATTATAATTTATAGAATGCATTTTTTCCACTAATATTATTATTACATAGTATTATATATCAAGTCGGGCTCCAAGCCCACGGGCTTAAAAGTTTGTCTTCTGACATAAAACGGGCCGGCCAATCTAGCTCGTCGGACTACTCGGCCTATAATAGGTCTACCTGACACATTACCCCGTGAATTGGAAATATCTCCCCTGCATAGTACTTATAAACGTGAAAACGTGGGCAGAGTTTGTTTGGGCAGGAGATCCGGACTCTCTTTCTTGTTGGATGCTGCATTTTTTTGGTCTCGCTATACGTGTGACCAGTGTGGTGTGACCAGTATGATTTCAAAACCTGCGATATTCAAGACTTGAAGCACGAGAGGCAGAGCCACAGAGATAACCCCGAAATGGCTTCCACGACCAAAGACGCCATGAAAGTTGACCGTACTCTCCTTCCCTCACTCTCTCTAAACTGAAGTTATAGCAATCAAAAACATGGATTATGCTGAAAAATTTGAGTATTCCTTATTAATTCAGCGCCTTGAAATGACAAATATTCAAGAAATCTAATTACAATGAGATTGCAAGAAGCTAGGGAAACTAGGTTTTAGTGTTTTATAAATAGAGAGTTAATCAGGTTGTAATTTTGGCAAATTAGATACGTATTTTTGCATATCTCCGTTTTCATCATTTTTTTTTATGAACTTTCCGTAAGGATTGGTTGCACTGATGGAACAATTACAAATATGGTCCTCAGGTTCTGTTAAATCTGTAGCTGTCGTTGGTGCCGGTGTTAGGTAAATTACTTCTCTTAATTGAATTAGCTACGACTCTGATTTCGTGTCGTTTCAGTATAATTTGCTGTTTTATGTATTGAAATGCCACATGCTGTTTATTATGCTTTTAAACGAGGAATTCTTTCATTGTTTTCGAGTGTGTTTAGTTTTTCATTTGTTCCCATTTGAATATCATTGTTTTCATTATTATTCTCCTAATCGTTGATTTTTTCTTTTTAATTACTCGAGTTTAAAATGCTATACTTGAAAATATATTATTTTAGACAGTAAGGATGTTGCTTTTTGATTTATCTCTAGGTGTTAGGCATTTCCCCCTTCTATTATTGCTACATGTTTATGCCGATTTGTTAATTTCATCACTACGGTCCATTTACCTGCAGAAGGGAATTCTAACATTCTATTAAACGTATAAGAATGTTTTATTTCTTTAGTAAAAGTTTGATTGAAAGTTCTAACCTTATGGTGTAATTTTCCAGTGGTCTTGCTGCAGCTTACAAGCTGAAATCACATGGTTTAAATGTCACATTATTTGAAGCTGAAGAAAGAGCTGGAGGGAAAATAAGGAGTGTTTCACAGGATGGTCTAATATGGGACGAAGGGGCTAATACCATGGTGAGTCTGTTAACCATCATGGTTGAATCTAGTTCTGCATTTTTTCATCATCCTATTTACAGGGTATCACTGTAGTTGTCACAGAAGAAAGTAGGTGATGTACTGATGTTGTAAGTTAGATTTCTCATTCACAGCTTTAAAGAATTCTGAAGATGTCTGTGATATCCGCGTGACTTGGTATTTTTATTTCTGACAACCTAGAGATTTTTATGTTGATAAATGCTTTTGGTCTTTCTTTCACAGACAGAGAGTGAAGTTGAAGTCAGACGACTACTTGATGGTCTAGGACTTCGAGAGAAACAACAATTTGTAAGCTTTCACTTTCCCACTTTAATCTACAATTGGGTAGCGTTTTTTCTTTTGTACTTTATTCTACAACTGGATTTTACTTGCATTCTATGAGAAATACAAGTTACAAGTGATATAATTTGTGAAACATACTCTTAGAGGCATCTTCAAGGTTCAAAATTTCAAAATGATACACCCTGTATTGGGAGGTCACCGGAACATTAAGTATTAAGTGTTTTTAAAATTTAATGAGGCCTATTATAGATCCCCTGTACAAATATGAAAAAAAAAGAAAGAGATCAGTCATCTGAAATGCACGATACACACATTTGTGCGTATACATATCGGGTGTATTGTTCACCTTGATGTAAAGAAGGATTTGATGATGCTGTGTGTTGCTTCTTTTTAGGGATAACTGGGCCAGAAAAATCTGGTCAAACCTTTGTTTATCAACAACGGATTTGAGGAGGATGTGAGGCAAAAGAAGGATCTTCCAAGACACTCATTATAATGATAGAAGAGCTGTGGCTGGCATCTGTTTATCAACGACGGGTTGGTTGATGGTTTATTTTTGAGGATGAGGATAGAGCTTTTTTAGGATTTGATCTCTGGGTTACTTTGGATATTCTAACTAATAACTTGTAGTTGTTTTTCTTTTTTACTTTGGTTTGGAGTTAAATTCTTGTAAACAGTTGCTTTTCACTTTCTTTTGAAGGTGAAATCTTTTCATCTCTTTCCTGAATTCCTTTTTACTTTTTAGTAAAATTTCTTATTATTATCAAAAATAAAAAATATAATCCAAATTGGACATGCTGAAACCTCAGCTGCGACTGGAGTTATGGATTAACCTTGGCTTAAGTCATTTTCTTCAAAGCACTTTCCATCCCCTCCTCCATCCTGCCAGTTTTTCGGTGGGCAAGGTTCAAAGTATCGATACGATACGCCCCATACTGGGCGTATTGTATCGTATCTTTTGGTCTCGATACACCTATTTACAGGTGTTTCGGGACCCCCATTTATTTCAATAAAGAAACATTTAAAAAACATCTCTAAAAATCAAAATTTGAAAAAAAAAACTAAAAAAAACATTGAGCGCTTGGTTTTTAGTACTGATACGCCCCTGCCGACACATAGGGGCGTATCGATACTTTGAATCTTGTCAGTGGGATGAAACTCAAGTCACAAACTATTTAGTCTATAGTCTCGTTTAACATAGTTGTTTGCTTTAGGGTGAATTTTGTGAATACATATCTCATCTTTCACTAAATGAAGACTATATGCATGGTGCATGTTGAAATTCAACATGAGATGAGATATGTATAATTGATTGCATAGCTTCCTAATTTCTTAGATGCAGTATTTTGAGCCTTTGCCAACTTGAGCTTTAATAACTGGATCATCATTTGTGTTATATGCTCAGTGTGCTGATCTTTTTCTTGATAAGAATTATTTGCATCTCATTTGCAGCCAATTTCACAGAACAAAAGGTACATTGTGAAAAATAGCATTCCAGAACTTGTAAGTTCTCTACACTACAACTGTTTAAGTGATTGCATGTGTCTTTTTTTTATACAAAGATACTGCCCTTTTTGCTGTTTATTCTCTCTCTCTCTCTCTCTTTTCTTCTTCTTCTTTCTTTTTCTCTTTATGCATGCTGTAATCTATATTTCTCTCTTTGACCACTGCATGTGCTTAACTTTGCATATCAGATTCCTACAAATCCCGTTTCACTTATCAAGAGCAATTTTCTCTCTGCTCAGTCTAAGGTTTGTTTTCAACAACATATTTGAGTGCCTTCTTTCTTTTGCCCTTGTATTTTTTTTTGCTATATCAGATCTTTAAAGGAAATTATTGGGAGTAACATCCTAAATTGACACATTTGTCCTTATGCTTCCATCAAATAATGAAATTAAATCAAAGTAGTGGTTTTACTTGATGTATGTGCTCTTTTGTTGCATATTGTTCTAACAAAAGTAAACAACAAGATGTGTTACCTTACCAGTAGGATGCTTTCAAAGTCTACTTTAAGCCTTGCTGTCACTAAAATATATCTAAGTCAGGGAACCATGAGCAAGAATGCCATGTTTTCAGGTGAATCATGACCATTAATCCTGTCATTCTGAATATTATGACTCACAGTTCCCAGGTGTAATTGGGATTAAGGTTAAGATTAGTTAAATTGAGTGCATGTATATGTTTATCTCTGGAGTCTGGAATGAAATGATTGGGCATCTATCTGGCTATATGGAAGAAAGCATGGGGGAGCATATAAAGACACATATATTGGCCTTTGGGGTTAGACATGCAATCTAATAATTTGTTGTTGAATTGCCACCTTAATATGTTTTCATTGCTTCGTTGTGCATCTTGAATGAACCTGTAGAGGCAACAAATTCACAAGAATTCTGAATTTAGGGGCTCTTAGCCGTGTTTTCTAATTTGTAAGCAACCTTTTATCATATATTCACCATGTCATAATTTGATAAAAATTTAATTGTTCCAATGTTGAAGGTTTTAGTTCCAAAATGGTAATTTGATCAATCTTCACATTTGCAGTTTCAAATAATTTTGGAGCCATTTTTATGGAGTTCTTCTGCAAAGAAAAACAACTCCTCAAAGGTGTCTGACAAAAATTTAGAAGAAAGGTGATTAACCAAATCTTTCTACAATCTTGAAAAATTTTCTTCACTCTTTCTATGAGCATTCTTTTTCATTTTAATTTGTCAGAAAGTTTTCTCTAAGTCAGAATACCTAATTATAATGTTGCTATGGGTTCCACCTAGGTATTCAAACATTCTATAAACATTTTGCTTCAAATTGATGTTAAGGCTTTCCATATTTTAATTAAATCTGTACATAGTTATGTGTTATCCTAGTCATATGGTGGGGAAGTTAGTAGGGGTGAGCATTCGGGTTTTGAACCGAAAAAACCAAAATTTCAAAAACCGATTTAGTTATAGAACAAACCGAACCGAAACCGAAATGTTTGAAAACCGAATAAACCGAACTGATTTTTTTTTTCGGTTATTTCAGTTAAAACCGAAATATTTTGTTTTGTTATTTAGTAAACACCTTTCGATAAATATAGTATTTGGGCAATTAAGCGTGTCCTAGAAATCAAACAAAAAACGATTAAAATATAGTATCTAGAAAGATCTGGGTTTGGAATCTTGCTTTCTATCAAGTATCAACCATTTTTTATGCTTAAAGTGGAATCCATTCTATGCAATAGGTACTGACCGGAAGGAGAGAAGGAAAATTATGCAATAGGTTGTGTCTTGGTTGTTTGTTTATTTTGGATAGTGTGGTCACTGTGGTGTAATACTGAGGAATGAAGAAGATCCGAAGATGCACTGAAATTGATGTTGTGATGTAGAACCTGGAGTGCAGACAAGGAAAAGTCAAGGGCCCATTGCAGAGTGCAGACAAGGACTGAAGGAACTCAAGAAGTGCATAACCGAGAAGTCGAGACTTGAAGGAGGTTGGGATTGGGACTCTGGTCTCTCATCTTTGGTACCTGGCGCCTGCCGGAGACCCGGTGAAAAAGAAGGACCGAACTGGTGAATGGTGATCTCTGATCTGGTCTTCTGTTCTGTGCCTGTGTAGTGTCTAGTGTCTAGTGTCTAGTGTCTACTGTGGCCTTTGCTAGACTGCTATGGAGTCTGGAGTCGAGTCTCTGTAGTCTGTACTCTGTAAGCCGACTCTAGTGTTGTGGAAGGTAGAAGACGAAGAGTCGAAGGAAGTTGAGACTCTCAAGTCTTTCCTGTTTTAGAACTTTAAAATTTACTTTAGAAAGTAGAAACTTTTAAACCTCTAGTTTTAGTCTTTAAGTCTTTTACGTTAAGCCTTAATAAGGAAATTTGGATATAGCCAATTAACCAAATACGTGATACGTCTCGGGTCTTGCTCTTGTCTTATAAGTATAAATAATATTAGTAATATAATTATAAAAGTAATTTGGTTAACCGATTTAGTAAACATGCTAACCAAAACCGAAAACCGAAAAATATAAAAACCGAACCTGATCGAACAACTGAATAAACCAAACCGATTCAACTGAAACCGAAATTTCGGTTTTAACCAAATTGTGCTCACTCCTAGAAGTTAGTGACTTGTTAGAATAATCATTTTGCAATTGCTTTCACTATTATATGTTTATTCGTTGGTACTAAGTATCACTTCATTACTCTTTTTTCCTGCTTTGGTAGATAACTATATAACAAAGGGAAAGAGGCAACAGAGAGAATATATATATTTTTGATCAGTAATAGAAGAACTACATTGAAAGAGACTAAAATGAAATCTCCATCATTAAAACAACTTTGACACACTTTGTTTGTTTGGTCAATCAATTCATCTATTGGCCTTTGACCAAAAATATAGTAGTGCACTGGATTTTCAAGACAAGTTTTCATAACTAAGGTAAAGGGGCACCTGACACCACCCAATTGACATCAGGATTTTGGAACAAACTGATCATCTTCCAGAGTCCATGACATTTTCTCTTATTTGTTTGTCTTTGATCACTGATGACATCGTATACAAACATTACAAAGAGAAAAAGGTGTCACATAGTATAATCAACTATTGCACTAGCATTGAATTCCTGTTGTGCAAAAATTCCTCATTTTGACAAGATCAGTGGCCAACCAGTTGCCCCTGGGCAAACATGGGAATGAAATATTTGTGTCATAGAATAATGACTGATCTCCCAGATGATATGGGAGTAACTTCCATGACATTTTCTCTTATTTGTTTGTCTTTGATCACTGATGACATCGTATACAAACGTTACAAAGAGAAAAATGTGTCACATAGTACAATCAACTATTGCACTGGCATTGAATTCCTGTTGTGCAAAAATTCCTCATTTTGACAAGATCAGTGACCAACCAGTTGCCCCTGGGCTAACATGGGAATGGAATATTTGTGTCATAGAATAATGACTGATCTCCCAGATGATATGGGAGTAACTTCCAAGACCCCAAAAGAAAACCTTTCCCCATCAGTTATAAAAAAAACATCTAATACTGTTACTTTGGCCACCCTCAACAATAAATTAGGGATACTTGATCTTCTTAGCAAACTCAAAACCTTGAGAAGGTCCATTGCCTCATATTTGAATATTTGTAAATTGTAGCTGTAGAGAACACTGATGTGGTCCCCACAGTGTTCGTATGGCAGCAATATTTCTGTTAGATATGACAGTGTTAGTTGGTAGTTATTTCAGCTTTATTATTAGTTATTTCTTATTCTATTTGCCATGTAAGCAATAAGGGCAGTTCAGCCCTTTTACAGTTAGCCAATAGTTATATAAATACTAAGAGTGGGTCGGCAGAAATCATAACCTTCCCTCTCTTTTTCTGAAACTCTTTTCGTGTACTTCTCTTTTTCTTCTCTTCAATTTTTCATCCTTTTTTTTTTTTTTAAATTCAAGACTGATTGTAGTCTAGATCGACTACTTGGTATCAGAGCCGACCTAGGAGTTCTTATGCTAGTCTGATTAGGCCAATTGCATGAGAACCTCCTAGGTTTGGAAGTTTTTCAACAAGGAAGGAGGATTGACTGATTCTTGGAGGTTACTAGTAGTGTGCGACTGCTACTAAAGAGATTGTAGAAGTCTGGGAGAGTTTCAGTAGTCAGGAAGAATCAGAAGAAGCTTTGGATCCTCAAGATTAGGGTTTTGCATCAACCAGAAGGTGGTGGCCAGAGATTTTTTCATAAAGTAAGCTTTTTTCTTGTGATTGACTTTAGAAAAGATCATCTTGGTTTTGTCTGAGAGGTGCGGCTGGAAAATCTGTGTTTTCTTTAGGGTTTTGAGAGAAAACCCTAAAATTCAGAACTGTTATTTGTTT